AAACTCGAAAGCCTAAACCCTGAACCCCGAAATCCTGAAGACACACGCTGCGCCCGACAGCCCCTGTTGTGACTCAGGAGTATCCGAGGCAACGGCGGAAGGCCTTCGTGGACCAGGGCTAGGGGTCTCGTGTTTTGGGCTTCGGGGTTGTCAGCCTAAACCCTAAACCCTAAACCCTAAACCCTAAACCCTAAACCCTAAACCCTAAACCCTAAACCCTAAACCCTAAACCCTAAACCCTAAACCCTAAACCCTAAACACTAAAACCCTAAACCCTAAACCCTAAACCCTAAACCCTAAACCCTAAACCCTAAACCCTAAACCCTAAACCCTAAACCCTAAACCCTAAACCCCAACCCCACAGCCAGCTGGGAGCTTGGGGATGGGTTCTGAAGTTGTCGTGGGGGGACAGCCTCGGGCTGTTGAAGGGTTTGTAAAATGTAGTGTTTAGGTTTAGGGTTTAGGGTTCGGGGTTTAAGGTTTAGGGTTTAGGGGTTAGAATAAATACTAACAGGATTCTTTTCGGGATCCCTTATAATTATACTGCAATAACCCCCCCCCCCTCTCCCCAAACCCTACTAGAATTATTCAGGCCACTATATTGGGGCTTACATGGTGAAAGCGTCTCAGGGTTGACGGTGTAGTGTTCCGGGTTGATTTCTTGACTGTCTATATGAATATATATATATATATATAGGCTTCCCAGGCCTACCCGAACGAGGCCCTCTGCTCCCAATCACATTCACTGGCAAGGGAGGAACCCTAAACCCGAAACCTATACCGGCCTTGCGATGACACGAGCAATACCGAGAGGAAGCCCCGAGGAAACATGGTTTACATGAGACGATAAGGGACCTTCATGGCTACCCATGACTTGCACTTCGGAATAAATAGCACGCATTTCTACTACACCATATGCTCATCCTCATGATTCTGGCCCCTAAAACCCTAAGCCCCAACACCCCAAGCCTCAAGACCTCAACCCTGCTTGACTGGCCCCTCTAGTTGACAGAGTCTAAGGGTAGCTATATGTTCCCTGAAAATGGTCCCTTAACATGGCCCCCTACATTCTTGAAAGGGTTCTGACGTCTGGGCCCTGGGGTTCTATAGGGTGTATAAGGGGTATACCTCCAACCCCAAACCCCAAACCCCAAACCCCAAACCCCAAACCCCAAACCCCAAACCCCAAACCCCAAACCCTAAACCCTAAACCCTAAACCCTGATCTCCTTCAGATAGCGCCTGCCACCATTCAGCCTTCCAGGGGCGGAGCGAAAGCCACTGTCACTTGGCCCTGAGTTGCTCATTAGCGGGCTTCTGGTTCAAGGTTCAGCGCTTAGGGTTCAGGGTTTGGGGTTTCGGGTTTAGGGTTTAGCGTTTAGGGCTTAGGGTCCCTGAGTTGCTCATTAACTTGGCTTCGGGGTGTGTGGGCTTCTGGTTCAGGGTTTGGGGTTTGGGGTTTAGGGTTAGGGTTTAGGGTTTAAGGTTTTAAGGGTTTAGGGTTTGGGATAAACCCTGAACCCTGGCTTAGAACCGCAAGCCTTAAACTAGTGAAAACATAGGCTGCGCGGCCCGCTATTGCATCCCTTTCTCTGCCGAAGTTAGCGGGGTTTAGGGATTTAGGACTTAGGATTTAAGGTGTTCCTCCCTAACTTCGAGTTTACTTGCAATACCTCCGGGATATTGGAAGATCCAGGATTGGTTTGGCGCTTTGGCGGCCAGACAGCACACAAAAAAACGGCTACGCACAATAGATCATTGGGGGGGACAGGGGAGACTCTGGGCGACAGCCCAATTTGTAACCTTTTGAATTACAGTTGAGGGTTTAGGGTTTCATGCCCCCCCCCCCCTCCTCTTCCTTCGCTCCCCAATTCCCCAATTCCCCTAAACCCTAAACCCGAAACCCTAAACCCTAAACCCTACACCCTAAACCCTACCCCCCCCCCCCCCGCCCCAAACAAAAAAAAAAAAAACGGAGAAGACGACCATCCTTGTGTACCCCAGAACCTCCCATGCGTCGAACAAAAGCAGCCTTTAAGCGCTACTTCCTATCCCTGGAACCTAAACCCTATAAACCCCAATATATAATTAAACCCTATTAAACCCTATAAACCCTCCATAAGCCCTATAAACCCTATAAGCCCTAAATTGCTATCAACCCTATAAACCCTATTAACCCTAAAAAACCCTAAATTGCTATCAGCCCTATAAACCCTACAAACCCTGCAAACCCTAAATTGTAAACCCTGAGCCTAAACCCTAATCCCTACAAACCCAAACCTTACAACCCTATATACCCTAAATTGTAAACGCTAAGCCTAAACCCTTCTAACCTAAAACCTTAACCTAGTAGTAGAGCAGGTATCCTTTAACCTTTTTGGGGTAGTATAATCCCCTTATAGTCCCAAAGGTCAACCTTTTATTCCCCCAGGTTAGGCTAAACTGTAAACTCTAAACCCTAAACCCTAAACCCTATATCCTAAATCCTTAACCTAAAACCCTAAGTTGTAAACTCTAAATCTAAAACCCCGGCACATGGTACCGAGGCCACCCGCTCCCAGAGTGGTGTTAGCACCTTCTCCAGCCCAGGTCCGTCGTTGCTCCGTTTTTTTTGTCATTGTTAATTTTTTTTTGGGGGTGGGGGGGGGGGGGGTTGGGTTTCGGGTTTAGGGTTTCGGGTTTGGGGTTTAGGTTTAGGGTTTAGGGGGCTTTCTTTTTTTTTTTTTTTTTGGGTGGGGGGGGGGGGGGTTGGAGAGGCTTGGGGAGGTTTCGGGGCTGATGAGTTTCGCTGTCATCTCCCGAAACCCTAAACTCAAACGGCCAGGATGAAGCAAGCCCCGCCGCCGCTGCGTGGGATGCTTCTGACCTGCCTCGATCTGGTATAGCATCCCCCCCACAGTCGGCCCTTGAGCGGAAACCCGGCAACGCACCCCACGGATGACAGAAGTGCACACCAAAACCCGATAAACCCTAAACCCTAAACCCTATAAACTTATGAAGCCTTATCCCATCTACACCCCAAAGCCCAAGGCACCTCTGTCCTAGACATGCACGAGGGCCGCAAGGACTTTGAAGGTCGTTAGCATCCCTCGACCCTGTGCCCTACTGGGTTTGGAGTACTGTACTTTAATACTTTTGTTTAGGGTTCAGGGTTCAGGGTTCAGGGTTCAGGGTTCAGGGTTTAGGGTTTAGGGTTTAGGGTTTAGGGTTTAGGGTTTAGGGTTTAGGGTTTAGGAGTACCACACTTTAATGCTTTTGGTGGTTCTGGGTTCCTAGTATAGCTACTTCTACCTAGAAAGTATATACTTTTTGTCCAGGGTTTGCCCCAAAGTAGGGCCTAGTGTAGCAACGAAGAGTTTAGGGTCTAGGGCTTAGGGTTTAAACTAGAGCATACACTTTCATGCATGAGCATCATAGGCTAGAACATCTTATAATGCGCGACAATATGCTACAACGGATAATCTTGAATCAAGGGGTGGTGAGAAGTGGAAAGTTCCTAGCACGACCTCAACCCCTAAGCCTTAAAGCCTGAACCTTAAGGGAGCCGAAGAAGAAGCAGAAGCAGAAGAAGAAGAAGCAGAAGAAGAAGAAGAAGAAGAATAATAAGAAGAAGAATAATAAGAAGAAGAATAAGAAGAAGAATAAGAATAATAATAAGAATAAGAATAATAAGAAGAAGAAGAATAAGAAGAAGAAGTAAGAAGTCCACCTTGTTTTAGCCACCCGGGCGTCTCATCTCATGGGTCCTAGCCTCAGGCTGAATAAAAACCCTCAAACCCCAAACGGTTTTGGGTTCTAGCGGGTTTAGGGTTTAGGGTTTAGGGTTTAGGGTTTAGGGTTTAGGGTTTAGGGTTTAGGGTTTAGGGTTTAGGGTTTAGGGCTAGCCAGTTCTAGGGTTTAGGGATCAGGGTTTCGGGTAACAGGGTCACAGGGTTGTGGGGCTTAAGGTTCAGTTTAGGATTTTGGGTAAACTTAAACCCTAAACCCTGAACACCATGAGGCCTAGCCCTCAACCGCGACGGAAGATGGATCTGTAGGCAAACGACTTGGCTTCCTCACTGCTTGGCTGGCACCAAATCCTTGTAGGGTTTAGGATCCCTAAACCCTAAACAGTTTCGGAAAGAGGGGTTTAGGATACTGGTTTTATGGGTTCACATTCGGGGCTTAGGGTGTCTTGAGCGTGGGTGCTCAACAGCACGGCTTGAGTTTTGGGTTTAGGCCCTGTCAGGTGTAGACTCCCACAGGCTGGATAAGCCAAGCGGTGGTTTTAGGGTTTAGGGTTCCTAGAGACTCCGATACCCCCCAATTACGAAATATTCCTTAAAGTATACTAGGGTTCCTTATATGGTTTGAGGAGTATACCTTAGTTTAGGAGTATTGGAGTCTCTGCGTCTTTAGGGTTACGCCAAGCAGATGAAGATTTACTTGCTGTCAATGACAATCAGCAGCGGCCACCAAGTGCCACTGAACTTGGCGACAGGAGAGTTAAAGTGGGGTGCACTTGCGTGCTTCGAGGTAAGAATTTTGGTTTTCAGAGCTTGTTGTTCGGGTTCAGGTTTTAGGACTTTGGGGTTTTCGTTTCTTAGCAGCTAGACCACCCCTGAAAATTAAAAGAAAGGAGCCAGAAAGAATCAAACATCTGAAGCAGTCCCGAAGCCCAAATGCTTGCTCGTTGTGCCGGCAATATACGATGCTGGCTTGCACCATGCGTCCAGTTTTGGCCGTCCCCCGAACGTACCGTATGGGCAACAGCCTTGTTACCGAAGAGTCAGAAATCATAGTAAGCATCGTAGTAGGCTGGAAAGCCACAGCCAGAAGTCAACACGACCTAGCCGGGCCCAAATAGTCGCTCACAAAACACAAGCTAAGTAAGCTTGCACGGACCCTCATTTCAACCTTGGTGTAGAGGATGTCCCTTGCCGCATGTGAGAAACAATTGGGTCAAGATTTCTTGAACCAGACAGTAGGGTGTGAGTGACATCCCGCGTCAAGGTTGCCGCAATGTTGCGGATTCAGATGATGATGACTGGGGAAGAGGTGGCTTGCCTGGAGCCGGAGGAGTTGCTGAGTATTACCGGCGACACTGCCACGGGCCACGTGCACGCCCTAAAGCTCCATCTCCAAAGGCTCTGTGGGTATCCCCGGTTTCGACAGCGGCTCCTGCAAGAAGACGAGCAGATTTTGCCCGAAGATGCGGTTCTGGAAGCACCTTGCCGATTGCACCTTGTCATTCTGGACTTTGCCGAGACCTCTGGCGATGATGTTGACAGGCTGCTCTATGCAGTGGAAGCAGACGATGCAACACAAGTAGAAGCAATCTTGCAGCGACCCCAAGATCCAAACCGAACGGCGCAGCACAACATGACGGCCTTACATGTTGCGGCGACGTATGGCAGGCAAGTCTTTGCAAAGTTGCTCCTTGAAGCTGGTGCGGCAACCAACCAAACTGAAGACCACGGAATCACGCCACTGTTCTTCGCAGCTCTGAGAGGCCAGTTGGAAGTGGCACGCTTGTTGTTGGACTTTGGTGCGGACAAGGACCTGGCGACTTCTGATGGGGCCACGCCACTTTTCATCGCGGCTAAGAACGGGCACTTGGAGGTGGTACGTTTGTTGCTACTTACTTCGCCTTTAGTTGAACTTTAAACTTTTTGGGTTTGCTTATATAGTAGGAATATTAAAGTTTATCCTTTTTTCCCCTTGGTCATTGGAGAAGTAAGGCTAGAGCTTGGTGCGGACAAGGACCTGGCCACAGCAGGTGGAGCCACGCCGCTTTTCATCGCAGCTCAGAACGGCCACTTGGAAGTGGCAGGCTTGTTGCTGGAGTTTGGTGCGCACAAGGACCTGGCCTTAGCTAATGGAACCACGCCACTTATCATCGCAGCTCGGAACGGCCAAGTAGAACTGGCACGTTTGCTGCTGGAGTTTGGCGCGAACAAGGACCAGGCCTTAACAAGTGGAGCCACGCCACTTTTCATTGTAGCTCAGACCGGCCATGTGGAGGTGGCACGTTTGTTGCTGGAGTTTGGTGCAGACAAGGACCTGTCCAAAGCAGGTGGAGCCACGCCACTTTTCATCGCAGCTCAGAACGGCCACTTGGAAGTGGCACGCTTGTTGATGGAGTTAGGTGCGGACAAGGACCTGGCTTTAGCAAATGGAGCCACGCCGCTTTTCATCGCAGCTCAGAACGGCCACTTGGAAGTGGCACGTTTGTTGCTGGAAAAAGGTGCGGACAAGGACCTGGCCAAAACAGATGGAGCCACACCACTTATCATTGCAGCTCGGAACGGCCACATGGACGTGGCACGCTTGTTACAATGAGGGACATATTTTCTTATGTTTGCCGACATGCTTTTTCGGGTTACCCTAAGGGTCCGTTTGGCCTTATTGTAATATACTTGGGCCCCAAAGTCCTTACACAGGATGTACGTTAAGGCCCAAGTATACCCTCTTTAGGTACGCGGACCCTACGGGTTATGAAAATCCCAGAGCCACAGGCTAAGGGGACCCGAAAGAGTTGTTTCACATTGTCGACTCGGGCATTGAAGAGTCATCCTCCGGGTTCTTTGTCATCAAGAAAAGTCATCAACAAATCATTGGTTGGGGCATCAACAGGGTTTAGGGTTTAGGGTTTAGGGTTTATTGTTTAGGGTTTAGGGTTCAGGGTTTAGGGTTTAGGGTTTAGGGTTTAGGGTGATGGGGGCAGGGGGAGGGGGGGGGGGTTGAATCGGGTCGAGGAAATCAGCCGTTCGGTTTATGGCTTAAAAGACTATAGGGCTTATAAGCCCTACACCCTATAGAGTTTAACGGATTTTGGTGAGCATGTCGTTCATAGGAAGTTTGGGTGTTTGCGTTGTGGGGTTTCTTCGGGGATGCGGATCAAAAAAATTTATTTAGGATCAAGAAAAATTATTTAGGATCAGAAAATATTTTTTTTAGGATCAAGAAATAATTTATTCGGTTCTTCCGACGGAGAGAGGGAAGGGGAGGGAGGGAGGGAGAAAAGGAGGGAGGGAGGGAAGGAAGGGCGGAAGGACGGAAGAAAGGAAGGAAGGCAGGAAGGAAGCAAGCAAGGAAGCAAGGAAGCAAGGAAGCAAGGTTTAGGGTTTAGGGTTTAGGGTTTAGGGTTTACACATAGCTACCTCTTTGCCTGGCTTGCATCAAGTCCTTTTAGGGTTTAGGGGTTAGTGTTTATGGGAAACAGTTTCGAAAGAGGGGTTTAGGATACAGGGTTTATAGGTCTTGATATTTGGGCTTAGGGTGTCTTGAGCGTGGGTGCTAAACAGCACGGGTTTAGTTTGGGGTTAGGACCCATAGGGTCTGGACTCCCACAGACTGGATAAGCCAAGCGGTGGGTTTAGGGTTTAGGGTTTTGGGTTTAGGGTTTAGGGTGTAGGGTTTAGGGTTTAGGGTTTAGGGTTATATAAGCTACGCAGCCGAAGACTTACTTGCTTGTCAGTGACAATCCAGCAGCGGCGACGAAGTGCTACTGATGTTGGCGACGGTTAAAGCAGGGTGCGCGCGTGCGCTTAGAGTTAGGCAAAACTGGCAAACCCCAAATCGTGCCTTGAGCATGCATGCTGATCACGAGAGTGCACACAACAGCTTTCGCACTCGCAAGGGTTGTTTTTTTAGGTTTTCGGCGAGCGGGATCATGTTCTTGGGCTGTAGGGCTTTTCAGGATTTCTGTAGGAGTTTTCGAACATAAGGGTCCATGCAAGCTGACCTAGCTTGTTTGTGTGAGGGACGATTTGGGCTTGGGGACTTCTTCAAATGGTTTGTTGTTGTTGATGCTTCGGCTTCTTGATTTTAAATTTGAGGGCTGCTTGAGCCCTACTAGGATGCCCAGTAGTGCCCCTATTCCCTTTTTGGGGGGGTTTAGGTTCCCTTATAAATGCAAAAACGGGCACCCTTTTTTTGCCTAGGTTACTGGGCAACCCAGTAACACTCCCAAAAGCACTCAACCCTGAACCCGAACAGCACGCTTCGAAGAAGGCACCGCAACCCTCAAGCCCGAGACCTCCAACCCTAACACCTCTAAACCCCAAACCCCAAACCCTAAACCCTGAACCCTAAACCCTAAACCCTAAACCCTAAACCCTAAACCCTAAACCCTAAACCCTAAACCCTAAACCCTAAACCCTAAACCCTAAACCCAAACCCTAAACCAGCCAAGCAAGCAAGCAACCAACAGAAAGCCCTTGGGTCCAGGGTCTGGGGTGGGTGTAGAGGATGTCCGTCGGGCATGTGAGAAGCAGTTGGCTTAAGATTTCTTCACCTTTAGGGTTTAGGGTTTATAGGGTTTAGGGTTGAGGGTTTAGGGTTTGCACGGTTTAGGGTGAAGGGTTTAGGGTTCAGGTTTCGGGTTGCAGCAATGTTGCGGATTCAGATGATGATGACTGGGGAAGAGGCGGCTTACCTGGAGCCGGAGGAGTTGCTGAGCATGACAGGCGACACTGCTACGGGCCACGTGCACGCCCTAAAGCTCCATCTCCAAAAGCTCTGTGGGCATAACCGGTTTCGACAACGGCTCCTGCAAGAAGACGGGCAGATTTTGCCCGAAGAGGCGGTTCTCAAAGGACCTTGCCTATTGCGCTTGGTCATTCTGGACTTTGCCGAGACCTCTGGCGATGATGTTGACAGGCTGCTCCATGCAGCGGAAGCAGACGATGCAATGCAAGTGGAAACCATCTTGCAGCGACCCCAAGATCCAAACCGAACGGCGCAACACAACATGACAGCTTTGCACGTTGCAGCTAGGTCTGACAGGCAAGTCGCCACAAGGCTGCTGCTCGAAGCTGGTGCGGGCACCGACCAAGTTGAAGATCGTGGAGCCACGCCACTGATCTTCGCTGCATACAACGGCCACTTGGAAGTGGCACGTTTGTTGTTGGAGTTTGGTGCGAACAAGGACCCGGCGATGTCAGATGGAGCCACACCACTTTTTCTCGCAGCCCAGAACGGCCATTTGGAAGTGGCACGTTTGCTGCTGGAGTTTGGTGCGGACAAGGACCTGGCCGATGCAGATGGAGCCACGCCGCTTCATATTGCAGCTGAGAAAGGCCACTTCGAAGTGGCACGTTTGTTGCTGGAGATAGGTGCGGACAAGGACTTGGCCGATACAGATGGAGCCACACCACTGTTCTTCGCTGCTCAGAAAGGCCATTTGGAAGTGGCACGTTTGCTGCTGGAGTTTGGCGCAGACAAGGACTTTGCCAGAGCAAGTGGCGCCACGCCACTTTTCATGGCAGCTCAGAACGGCCACTTTGAAGTGGCACGTTTGTTGCTGGAGTTTCGTGTGGACAAGGACTTGGCGAAAACAAATGGAGCCACGCCACTTTCCATCGCATCTGAGGGTGGCCACCTGGAAGTGGCACGTTTGTTGCTGGAGTTTGGTGCGGACAAGGACCTGGCCGATTCAGACGGAGCCACGCCACTCTTCTTCGCTGCTCAGAACGGCCATTTGAAAGTGGCACGTCTGTTGCTGGAGTTCGGTGCGGATAAGTACCTGGCGATGTCAGATGGAGCCACCCCACTTTCCATAGCAGCTGGGAAAGGCCACTTGCACGTGGCGCGTTTGTTGCTGGAGTTTGGTGCAGACAAGGACCTGGCCTTAACAAGTGGAGCCACTCCACTGTACATCGCAGCTGAGAACGGCCACTTGGAAGTGGCACGATTGTTGCTGGAGTTTGGTGCAGAGAAGGACATGGCCGAAGCACATGGAGCCACGCCACTGTTCGTGGCAGCTGAGAACGGCCATTGGGAAGTGGCACGCTTGTTGCTGGAGTTTGGCGTGGACAAGGACCTGGCCAATTCAGATGGAGCCACGCCAATTTGTATCGCAGCTCAGAACGGCCACTCTGAGGTAGCCCGTTTGTTGCTGGATTTCGATGCTGACAAGAGCTTCAAGAGCCTGGCAAAAGCACCAGGAGCCACGCAACTTTCCATCGCAGCTGAGAACGGCCACGTGAGAACTGTATGTTATTTACATCTTGCGCGGTAGGCGACATGGGGTTTAGGGTTGAGGATTTAGGGTTTGGAGCCCTAAACCCTAAACCCTAAACCCTAAACCCTAAACTACGCCTTGCCCCGCGGGCCCTGTAAGGCCTCTTACCACCCCCTCGAAGGTTTGCGGGCGTGTTGTGCGGGGAGAGTCGAATGGCCTCTACTTGAAGGTTCATGGTACTTACTAACCAACTATAACTGGGCTTATAACCCTACTTATAATTGGGATAACCCCCATAAGGCCCTTTAGGGGTATTAGAAGTAGGGTTATAAGTACAGTTATAAGTGGTTAGTAAGTACCATGAACCTTCAGGTACCGAGGCTGTGTATTGTGGTTGCGCGTACTCATGTCTATAGTTGAATGTGTATACCTACTTTAAGCCTTATGCAGTATACAGGAATTTACATGTCTGCTGTAGGACCTGTAGGATTCCAGGAAGGGTTTAAGGTGTAGAGTTTAGGGTTGAGGGTGTATAGGGTGTAGGGTTTAGGGTTCATGGTTTTCGCAGCAATGCCCTGTGGTGTATGTCGTTTCTGGTATCATTCAAATTCTGGGTTCTCTGAATTTAAGTCCTGAACCGTAAACCGTTTTCTGGTACGCCAGATATGCGGAGGAGCCTGAAAATGGGGACCGCACGTTTGAGAATCTACCACATGCACTGCTGCTTCTATTCGTCTCGTTTTGGTTTAAATTTGCCATACACTAAACCCTTATCCTAAAACCCAGGGGAGGGGGGTGGGGGGAGTCCCTAGAATCTGGCGTTCTTCAGCTTCAAGTTTTGTTTGGTTCCTTGGGGCCCTAAACCCAGAAACCCTACAAAGGCCCAAGGCCCCCCACACGGAACGCCCAAGCCCGGATTTGAAATCCCAAACCCTAAACCCTAAACCCCTAACCCTCTAAACCCGAAACCCCATGAATGCCCAAAACCTGGCAACGCGCCCGCCCCCTTCACTCAAACCCTCCACCCTTTGTATGAGTAGCTGAGTGAGTACACTTTCCACTTCTTGGGATACTAAATCCCCTATAGAACTGAACGTGTGCAACTTTTAGGGGCTTATGAACTCAGCAACTAAGTTGTCACCCTTTGTCAAGTAATTAATTCACCACACCCCAGACACTAAACCCTAAACTCTATAGACCCTAAACTCTAAACCCTACACTCTAAACCCTAAACCCCTAAACCCTAAACCCATCTTAAACCATCATAGGGATGGAGTGACAATTTGCTTCTAGGTTGCAGCAATGTTGCGTATTCAGATGATGACGACTGGGGAAGAGGTGGCTTGCCTGGAGCCGGAGGAGTTGCTGAGTATTGCCGGCGACACTGCTACGGGCCACGTGCGCGCCCTAAAGCTCCATCTCCAAAAGCTCTGTGGGCAGAACCGGTTTCGACAACGGCTCCTGCAAGAAGACGGGCAGATTTTGCCCGAAGAGGCGGTTCTGGAAGCACCTTGCCTATTGCACCTGGTAATTCTGGACTTTGCCGAGACCTCTGGCGATGATATTGACAGGCTGCTCCACGCAGTGGAAGCAGAAGACACAACACAGCTAGACACCATCTTGCAGCGACCCCAAGATCCAAACCGAACGGCGCAACACAACATGACAGCTTTGCACGTTGCAGCTAGGTCTGGCAGGCAAGTCGCCACAAGGCTGCTGCTGGAAGCTGGTGCAGGAAAGGACCAAGGTGACGATTTTGGAGGCACGCCACTGTTCTTGGCAGCTTCGGGCGGCCACTTGGAAGTTGCTCATTTGTTGCTAGAGTTTGGTGCGGACAAGGACCTGGCCGGAGGAGAAGATGGAGCCACGCCACTTTCCATCGCATCTGAGGGTGGCCACCTGGAAGTGGCACGTTTGTTGCTGGAGTTTGGTGCGGACAAGGACCTGGCTGATTCAGACGGAGCCACGCCACTCTTCTTCGCTGCTCAGAACGGCCATTTGAAAGTGGCACGTCTGTTGCTGGAGTTTGGTGCGGACCTGGCCGCCGCAAATGGAGACACGCCACTTTCAATCGCAGCTTGCAACGGCCACCTGGAAGTGGCACGTTTGTTGCTGGAGTTTGGTGCGGACAAGGACCTGGCCGACGCGAGTGGAGCCACGCCACTTTCCATGGCAGCTTACAACGGCCACTTGGAAGTGGCACGTTTGTTGTTGGAGTTTGGTGCCGGCAAGGACCTGCCGATTTCAGATGGAGCCACGCCACTGTACATCGCCGCTGAGATCGGCCACTTGGAAGTCGCACGATTGTTGCTGGAGTTTGGCGCAGACAAGGACCTGGTCTTCGCAAATGGAGCCACGCCACTTTTCATCGCCGCTGAGAACGGCCACTTGCAAGTTGTACGTTTGTTGCTGGAGTTCAGTGCAGACACGGACCTGGCGACTTCTGATGGGGCCACGCCACTTTTCATCGCAACTCGGAACGGCCACATGGAAGTGGCTCGCTTGTTGCGATGAGTAACAGTATACAAATTTAGGGTGAGAGCCGACAGGGGGTTTATGGTTCAGGGTTTAGGGTTTAGGGTTTAGGGTTTAGGGTTGAGAGCCTCTAAACTACTGCCCGATTGAGTGTTAAGGGTTCTCTTTAGGGCTATAACGGGTTCAGAGTTTAGGGTTTGCGCAGCAATGCCCCGTGGTGTATGTCGTCGTTGTTGTCAATCAAAATTCCAATTTTCTGGATTAAAGCCCTGAAAGCTAAGCCTTTCTCTCGTACCCTAGATATACGCTGGACCCTCAAAATGGGGGACCGCAAGTTTCAGAATCTACCGCATGCACTGCTGTTTCTATAAACCCAAAGCCCTTAACCTTTTAAAGCCATCAACCCAACGCACAAAAACCCATCTACAACCCAAACCCTAACGGAAAGTCCGTCCTATAAACCAGGACCGGGAGCAGGCCCTTTTTTTTTCCTTTTTTCGGGGTTGGGGTTCCCTTACAATCCCCTTAAAACCAAAAAGGGTACCCTATTTATTCCAAGGTTACTCCCAGGTCTAGCAAACTACCCTGTTTAACCTAGTGCAAGCTACAAAGGGTGTTTATCATCGTGTACGTATATATATATATATATATGCTACAATGGAAATGATATCAAGTGGTGGTCAGAGGGGGGAAAGTTCATACCCTAAACCCAAACCCGGCCCTAAACCCAAGCCCAAAATCCAAAGCCTAAGCCTAAGCCCTAAACCCTAAACCGTCAACCCTAAACCCTAAACCCCAAACCCTAAACTCGAACCTTAAGAAAGGCCGAAGAAGCCGAAATCTCCCAACGGGTATTGGTTTTCAGAGCGTCCAAGCTCATGCAACCTGCCCTGCAAGCCCTAAAACCCTAGACCAAGCAGTTTGGGGTTTAGGGTTCCAGGGTTAGAGTTTAGGGTTCAGGGTTTTAGGGTTTAGGGTTTAGGGTTATGATTTAGGATTATCGGGTGCTGAACGGCACGGGTTTAGGGTTTTGGGGTTTCGCGCCTTCAGGGTGTAGACTCCCACAGACTGGAGAAGCCAAGCACTCGGTTTAGGTTTAGGGTCCAGGGTTTAGGGTTAAGCTACGCAGCCGAAGGTTTAATTGCTGTCAATGACCATCAAGAGCGGCCACCATGTGTTACTGGTTTCGGCGACAGGAGAGTTAAAGCAGGGCGCACGTGCGTTTAGAGTTTAGTTGTCAGAGCTTGTTGTTCGAGTTCAAGGTTTAGGGCTTTGGGGTTTAGGGTTCCAGGGTTTAGAAGTTTAGGAGTTATAGAGCTTTCAAGCAGCGCTGCAAGTTAAAAGCAAGAAGCAAATCCTTTGAAGCAGTCCGCAAGCCCAAAGAGTCCCGCAAAAAACGCCTGAGCAAGCTGGCATGGGCCCTCATCCCTAAACCCTAAACCCTAAACCCTAGTTTTGAAAACTCCCTACAGAAACCCGAGGCTCTACAGCCCGATAGCATGAACCCCGCACGCAGCCTGAGAGAGTTATCCCTGGCCAAGACATGACGCTTACCATACCCTAACCCAGAGGGTCCATTTGTAGTACTATTATGGAATTAGGTACCCAAAAACCATACTAAGTCGGGTTTTGGGGTACCTAATTCCATAATAGTTCTCCCCATGGACCCTCTGGGTAATCTATACTAAGGATCCTTATTTATGAATTAGGGTATAGCTGCATGCTCCAAGCGCTATGTGGGCTTTGCCAGTTTTGCCTAGCACCTCCAAGCAGGCGCGCAACCCAAAAACCCTGACACCTTTAAGCCCTGAGACTTGAACTCGAAGCCCTAAACCCTAAACCCTAAACCCTAAACCCTAAACCCTAAACCCTAAACCCTAAACCCTAAGCTCTTGGTTGGGTCCAGGGGGGGGGGGGGCGGTGCGGAGGATGTCCCGTGGCGCATGGTGAGAGAAGAATTGGGCTCAAGATCTCCGAAGCAGCCACAGTACTACGTAGGGTTTAGGGTTTCGGGTTTAGGGTTTAGGGTTTAGGGTTTAGGGTTTAGGGTTTAGGGACATTCTGCTTCAAGGTTGCAGCAATGTTGCGTATTCAGATGATGACGACTGGGGAAGAGGTGGCTTGCCTGGAGCCGGAGGAGTTGCTGAGTACTGCCGGCGACACTGCTACGGGCCACGTGCGCGCCCTAAAGCTCCATCTCCAAAAGCTCTGTGGGCAGAACCGGTTTCGACAACGGCTCCTGCAAGAAGACGGGCAGATTTTGCCCGAAGAGGCGGTTCTGGAAGCACCTTGCCTATTGCACCTGGTAATTCTGGACTTTGCCGAGACCTCTGGCGATGATGTTGACAGGCTGCTCCACGCAGTGGAAGCAGAAGACACAACACAGCTAGAAACCATCTTGCAGCGACCCCAAGATCCAAACCGAACGGCGCAACACAACATGACAGCTTTGCACGTTGCAGCTATGTCTGGCAGGCAAGTCGCCACAAGGCTGCTGCTGGAAGCTGGTGCAGGAAAGGACCAAGGTGACGATTTTGGAGGCACGCCACTGTTCTTGGCAGCTTCGGGCGGCCACTTGGAAGTTGCTCATTTGTTGCTGGAGTTTGGTGCGGACAAGGACCTGGCCGGAGGAGAAGATGGAGCCACGCCACTTTCCATGGCAGCTTACAACGGCCACTTGGAAGTAGCACGATTGTTGTTGGAGTTTGGTGCGGACAAGGACCTGGCCGATTCAAATGGGGCCACGCCACTGTTCTTCGCTGCTCAGAACGGCCGTTTGGAAGTGGCACGTTTGTTGCTGGAATCTGGTGCGGACCTGGCCGCCGCAAATGGAGACACGCCACTTTCAATGGCAGCTTACAACGGCCACTTGGAAGTGGCACGTTTGTTGCTGGAGTTTGGTGCGGACAAGGACCTGGCCGACGCGAGTGGAGCCACACCACTTTTCATGGCTGCTCAGGACGGCCGCTTGGAAGTGGCACGCTTGTTGCTGGAGTTTGGTGCGGACAAGGAACTGCCGATTTCAGATGGAGCCACGCCACTGCACATCGCCGCTGAGATCGGCCACTTGGAAGTGGCACGCTTGTTGCTGGAGTTTGGCGCGGAGAAAAACCTGCCCTTAGCAGATGGAGTCACGCCACTTTTCATCGCCGCTGAGAACGGCCACTTGCAAGTTGTACGTTTGTTGCTGGAGTTCAGTGCAGACACGGACCTGGCGACTTCTGATGGGGCCACGCCACTTTTCATCGCAACTCGGAACGGCCACATGGAAGTGGCTCGCTTGTTGCGATGAGAAACATATGCAAATTTAGGGCGGTAGCCGACACGGGCTTTGTAGTTCAGGGTTTAGGATTGAGAGCCCCCACACTAGTGCCCGATTTGAGTGTTTACGGTTGTCTGTAGGGTTCAGAGTTTAGGGTTTCGCAGCAATGCCCTGTGGTTTATGTCGTCGTTGTTGTCATTCAAATTCGCAGTTTTCTGGATTAATCCCCTAAACTAAACCTTTCTCTGGTGCCCTAGATTAAGCTGAACCCTCACAATGGGGGACCGCGAGTTTCAGAATCCACCACATGCACTGCTGTTTCTATAACCAAGAGCCCATGACCGTCTAAGCCATAAACCCAACGCGCAAAACCCATCTACACCCCAAACCCTAACAGCACTTCCGTCCTATACGGCATTGGATATGTGATATCAAGCCAGCAAGTAATGATTTTGGGTAACGTTCCCTATTTTGGGGGGGACTATAGCATGGATCTAGGGCAATTGTGGGTTTACTGGGTTTACATGAAACAGATAAAGCTACACTTTGCCACTGTGATGTTTATCTATGACAACTTTGGAAAGTGTACATAAAAGAAGCAGAAAAGCCAGCTGTGACAGTTTTTAGTGTCACTTTAGAAAGGGCATCCTTTTTGAGATACACTTTGCCGTTCCAGTCAGGGCTTAGGGTTCAGATTTTAGGCTTAATTACCCTAAGGTCCATGTACCTAAATATGGAATACTATTGGGCCTTAGAGGTACTTCCTATATAAGGACTTTTGGGTCTAAGTATATAGTTATAAAGTACATGGACCCTTAGGGTTAGGGTTTGCGCAACTATGCCTCCATTTCAATTCTTGGCTCCCTGAATTGAAGCACTGAACCGCAAGCCTTTCCCCAAGGGTCCATGTACCTGATGATTACATACTTGGCCCCCAGGGCCCTTATATAGGAGGTAGGGTTTAGGGTTTGGGGTTTGGGTTTAGGGTTTAGGGCTTAGGGTTTAGGGTTTAGGGTTTAGGGTTTAGGGTGTGGGGTTTGGGGTTTGGGGTTTGGAGTTTAGGGTGCCTTAAACCAAGGCCCAAGTATACCCTGTTTAGGTACATGGGCCCTAAGGGTTTTGCCCGAAAATGAGGGACCGCAAGAATCTATCCCATGCACTGCTGCTTCTGTTCGTTTCGTTTTGTTTTATACTTGCCATACACCAAAAACCCCAAACCCTAAACCCTAAACCCTTATCCTAAAACCCAGGGGGGGTGGGGGGGGGGGGGGGGGGGGGGGGGGGGGGGGGGGGGGGGGGGGGGGGGGAGGGGGGGGGGGGGGTGGGGGGAGGGGGGGGAGGGGGGGGGGGGAGAGTCCCTAGAATCTGGCGCCTAAGCCCCAAGCCCATCCTAAACGCACCCTCCCCAAACCTAAACCCCAAACCCTAAACCCCAAACCCTAAACCCTAAACTCCAACAACCTCATCAGAGCAAGGGCTGATGCAGGCCTTGGGGACTCGATGTGGGCCTCGAGGCTTTGAGAGCTCCCGATGATTGGCGGCACGTGCCCTGAAGGTCTATTCTCAAAAACGGGGTGTAAAAACAAATCAAGAAATAAATATACATGTAAATAAATAAATATATATATATATATGTATATACGTATGCATATATATATACATATATATATATACATATATACATACATACATACATACATACATACATACATATGTGTCTGTTCATTGGTATAGTATGTATATGTAGTTTACCGAAATATGCATCTGTTTACTTGCT